TACAAACAAGGCGAGTGAGCTCCTGGGGATGGGGCGAGGGTGGGGAGGAGGTGGGTGGACGTGTGCCTGACCCCCTCCTCTGCCCCTGCAGATGTGGCCGGGTCAGCAGCGCTGGCCACGCAGACGGCCCTGGACCTGCTCCTGAAAAGGAGCACCCAGCGGGAGCCAGCGGGAGCTGGCCACGGGCTCACTGCAGGTCAGGAGCTCTGTGGGGGGACTCTGCTCTTGGGGGGCAGCAGGGGGAGGTTCCCAGCCCTGTTCTGCTTCAGGAGGCGTCTGCAGAGCCTTGCCTTGCCCCGGCTGAGCCGCTGTCCCCTGCGCAGGTGGCAGTGGTGAAGCCAGGCGATTCGGGAGAGGCACAGCCCCCCTGCGAGCCACAGGCACAGGAGGAGGGGGCCGAGGTGGACTCTGAGGAGCAGCAGCAGAAGTTGGTGACGCTGCACATGGCAGAGCCGGGGGAGACACTGGTGCAGGAGACGTATGAGGAGGCCGCCCTGGGAGGCTCGGAGCTGCAGCAGATCACAATCCCCTTCGGCGGCACGGCCGAGTACAGCATCATCACGCCCATCAGCGAGGAGATTCAGGCTCCAGGCACGCTGTACAGGTCAGCCGCACCAGGGGCACCTCCGACTCCGCGAGGACGATTTAGTGAGGAGGGCGAGGTGGATCCTCCTGACCCTGTGCTCTCCAGCAGCGAGGAGGAGAGCCCTGCGGACACCTCCCACGCCGTGGTGGTGAGCGGAGCCGTGATGGCAGAGGAGGCGCTGAAGGACCACGGCGGTCACTACATCATGTCGGCCGGTGTCACGGGGAGCCAGTTCCAGCACATCGAGGTAAGGAGCTGCGCTTCCCCCCCGTCTCGGGCAGCAGCGCGAGCAGGCGTGACCGGGTGTTTCTCTCTCAGCCCCTCAGCGGGGACCCGGCCTTTCCCTCGCCTGCGGAGGGCCCGGAGGCGCAGCCCGGCGGCGTCAAGTGGCCCCTGGTGCAGTGTGTCACCAGGCAGCTCCAGAAGGACTCGTCTCTGTCACCAGCCTCCGAGGGGCAGGAAGGCTCCTCCCCAAAGCTCAAGTGGCCTGCGCTCCAAGGCATGGCCAAGAAGCTCTCGTGCAAGGTTTCCACCGCCAAGAAGCTCTCGTGCAAGATTTCCACAGCCAAAAAGTTTTCATGCAAGATTTGCACAGCCATGTTCACAGGGAGGGCGGAAATGGAGAGTCACAAGAGAGCCCACATTGGGCCCAGCACCTTCAAGTGTCCCGACTGTCCCTTCACCGCAGCCCTCTGGCCGGAGGTTCGGGTAGGTTCCTGGCACAGAGCAGCCCTGGGAACGGGAGCTGTGGAGAAGCAGGAGCTCTTTTTGGAGAGAAAGGGGCTTTTTTTGGAGAAAAAGGGGCTTTCTGACCCCTGCGCGTGTCCTCCTGTTCCCAGAGCCACATGGTGCAGCACGCCAGCCTTCGGCCACACAAGTGCACCCACTGCAGCTTCGCCTCCAAGAACAAGAAGGACCTGCGCAGGCACATGCTGACGCACACCAACGAGAAGCCCTTTGCCTGCCAGATCTGCGGGCAGAGGTGAGCGGAGCCTGCGGGGATGGTGCTGCTCGGAGAGATCCCACAGAGCTCTCGGGGCTCGAGAGGAGGCAGGAGATGGGCACAGAGCTGGCTGCCCCGCTGGCCCCTGTGGGTTTAAATGTGGCAGACTGGGCTGTGTGTAAAACAGCGCAGAATTTTAACGTAAATTACAATAATGTGATTGGGCCAAAGGACATGAATTGGAATATTTACTACACAGTGTAAGTGCTGTACCAGCTGCTGACTAATTGGCATTTGCCAGGTCTAGACCAAGAACTAAAGCAGTATTTTAAAGGTAACAGCCTCAGCCTCAGCTCCAAGAAACGTCTGCCTGGGGAGGTTCAGTGCTTGGGCGCTGATGGAAGCGTTCCGGGGGCTGGGACAGGCCGTGTTTGTGGGGCCGTGGGCTGTGTCTCCGCAGAGGGTGCGGAGTCCCTGCGCTGTCCGTGTCAGACTCCCCCTCACGCTGTTCCTCTGCAGGTTCAACCGCAACGGGCACCTCAAGTTCCACATGCAGCGTTTGCACAGCTCGGAGGGGAAGAGGCTGGGGGCGCCCGCGGCCGCCGCGCAGACCATCATCCTGAACAGCGACGAGGAGACGCTGGCCACGCTGCAGAGTACGGCGCGTGCCCGGGTGACCGCGGGTGTCTGCGTGGGGACGTACCCAGCCTGGGCGCCCAGCAGGGCTGGGAAGGGTCGGGGTCGGGAGGTTCCTGGTGCAAGTTGGGGTTGTGGGGGGTTTAGGGGTGCAGCGAGGAGGGGCTGGGTGCAGGGAGCCCTCCCAGCGCGGTGCTGACCACC